CCCCAAAACCCCAAAACCCCAAAACCCCTCAGCTATATATCAGAAAATATTAATGAAATTAAGTGTTAATAATAGGGAGTTGGTCTGTTATATAAATCAAAGATTGTTGGTGTTTCTATTTTTTATCTTGATGTCAAAGCTAAGTAACACTTCTTCAGGTTCCTCTTCATCCCTTTAGTTTCTAGTAGTAGATCCTCTCTTAGATGACACTACCGATAGTCTTTTGGAATCAGTTCTTACATGAGAAGATTTAAGATTGATGGGTGAAACACCTGACTATTAAAGTAAATTAGCCAAATGAGGAGGGAGCTATTCTCTTTTGGAAGCATTTGATACCTACTTTTTGTGCTATGAGCTTTTAGAGTTAATTTTATGGTTAACCATATTAGCAATGAACTAATTCTCAAGAGGCAGTGAATGCTAATGTAGTTAAAGCATCCCGCCACCAGATTAAATTTATTCATCTTTAGTTTAAACCTTTAATTCATATTCATAGCTCTTAAGCTGCTTGAGCATCATAAGATCATTGTTAGCTTTCTCCTTCGTTTTCTATTAAAGCTAAGCTCGTAGAGACAGTTCCTCATCTAAAAGTATTTTTGACTCTAGAACTCTACGTGACTACTAAAGTCTTTCTAGATTGTGTTATTTTTAAACTTCTAGTTTCTAAAGGTATTGTGAGTTCTTTCGAGTCATAAAGTACTTCTTACTATTTTGATTTGGGTTATTTATATTGCTGCCCTGCATCAAGCTATCTTACTCATTGAAAATAAAGTATTTGTTTGAAACTTCAAAGCCTTAGTTTTGACTTCCAGTTGATATCTAGACATTATCAATAGTATTGAACATAGATTGATCTAGTTTGTACTTATGCAAAAGTTATTATGTATTTATATTGCTAATGGATCCATGCACACTTGACTCCACCTGAGATATATTAATATTACTATTCTTTATACTCAAGATCTTGTCTTTCTTCATCTGCATCTACAATGATTTCTGCAACTTTTAATTTTCCCTCTACAATTCAACATTGGTGCGGGCATTCTCGACCTCATACATCTTTTTCAATCTTGTAAGGGTACTGTTTATTATCTTAACCACACTATTCTTCTGTAAAGCAAAATCCTAAGTAAATTTCTAATCATCTCTGTGATTCTTTTATTTTTCTTTTCTTTCAATTAGACTTTACAATCGACGTTCTGTCTCTACCTAGGTCTATCTCTAGGTAATTTGATCTTAGATGTGCAATTTATCTTTTATGGAAAGTTACTTCATACTCTTGTTAGCCTTTAATGTAGGCTTAGGTGGTTTGATACCCTCGATCTCGATTGAACCTTCAGCAATCTTGATCTTATCACTTTGAATCTCTTCCTCTATGCTTTTATAGATCTTAGGGAGTAACTTATAATTCCCTAGCGCACTTTCACTAGCCATGCTATCCATTTAAGAAGAGTACTTTCTTGAATAATATTTACGCTCCCATTATTCATGAGTAGAAGCATGATCCTTAATGCTGTATTAGGGTTTGTACTGTGGTTACTAAGCTTCCTGCACTAACCTTGATAACTCCTTCTACGACTTATGTATCTTATCATTCTTATAGCCCTTTTTACGCTAACTTGACATGAGATTAGTAGTAGTCGCATTGAAATTGATCTTAAGTTTAGGTATGCTACTTGCATTACTTTTATGAGTCAGTTGTGACTCTTGATTGTTATGATTTTGTTGAGACTGTTACTACTTGGGCTTCTTATTTCTAGTCTTTTAATTAGAAATCTCTAAATGCTCCAGGTCTTTAGAGTTATTTATGGAACCATTCAGATACCTTTCCTGGAGTTTATGAGAAGATTTGCTTAGCTGAGTTTTACTGGGGGACACTTGATGGGGAATAGCTGATTCATCAATAGCTTCTAAAATGTCATCTTCTTAATTTTGCTGTTTCTTTCTGACCATGGCATTTTTTAACTATAACATTTACTCTTTAAATTCATGATAAGTTACTTGATCATCTGAAAAAGTAAGCACTTGCATAATATTTAACTTTTGAATTGGATATAATTGATGAGATTTCAACTTCAAATTAGACTAATAATATTTAAGAAAATGTTGCTTTACATGTTAAAGATTATTGCCAGGTTATATGACTAAATTACTACTCTCCATCGTTGTGAGCTAATTAATAATTAATTATTTGTAAATTTATGAATAAATAAATAATCGCGAAACTAATTGATAATTTGCAATAATTTAAATTTAAAATGAATACAAGCTAGAGCAGCAATTCTAGAGCTACTTGGAATAAACCAAATTTGCAGCCAATCTTAACAACAAGTGCCTATAACTCAAATTAAAGTTACACTTCTTCAAAGCCATTACAAGACCCTTCTCGTTTACAAAGCAAAAACACCAGACAGAATTGGAATAAGTAGAACCGATATCACAATAAAGGGCCTTCAGCCTATTTAAATCCAGATGAAAGCATCGCCTCATAAATCAAATCAAGGATTCTTCCAATAAACACTAATCACAGTATTATCGACATCTCAGCAGTTAAAAGTCGTGATTTCACTGATAACCCCTTACTTTCTAACTCTAAAATGTGGAAGCACTCTCCGATTAGGAATGAATCATCCTCTGATGATGATCTGAATGCAAGCTCGATCTGCAGTTTCAAGTCACCCGATAAGAAAGAGGAAATGTCAGTGGCAGATGAAACTATTTGTGTATCGCCAATCTAAAAGATATAGGTTATTCCAACTTCAAGAGTCAATTCTAGAAATGATAAAAAGATTTCAGATATAACTAATTTCCATGATAACTATCTGAGGTTAGGTCTATGGCCTGAGCTGTCTTACACATAATAAGCTTATCTAAGAAATAGTTTCAAGAAAAATCAAACAAAGCTAAGGTAAAGTAGAGAAATGAGTGTAAATAATAGCAGAAACCACCTCGACTACAATAAAAATATGACAGCTTAATATCTATAGACTTCGATCAATAACTTTCCCATGAATTTAGACTAAACAGCATAGTAAAACTTGCTTCCACCAAATGGAAGGAAAAGAGCTACTTCTCTTTTATTTAGTTAGGACAATATATAAACTTAGGTACCTCCTTATCAAATGTATCAACTATAATAAATGGCTAAGAATATTGAGTCAAAGCAGATGTAGCTATAATATACGAATCGAGGCATATCAAGCCACGAATCATGCTAGAGATGTACAAGCGGTTTAGGTCAGTTATAAACCAATCAGTCATTCTAAGATGAGAATGCTGAGTAATATAAAGAAGGCTTGAAGAAAGCTCTAGAACTCATTAATACCCTTATTGATCAGATATCTATACTCTCAGAAAATAACTAAGATAATGCTAATAATCCAATTGATCAAACCAATCAAAGCCATTACGATGATAGAGACAAGGAGAACATGTATCCTACTTTCAACCCAAGGGGACTTATCAAAGGCAATAAACTCAGAAATTCCTAGTAAGAACTTAAGGATTTGGTGAACATCATTAAGAAAGCTAAATAAACCAATGAAAGTATTAACAAAGGTCATTTGAGTGCTAAAAATCTGCAAGATACCTTATCTAATAACTCAAGGAAGCATAACATTTTGTAGGAGTCTAATGTCTTTAAAAGTTTCAATAACATGGCTAATAACAATTTCAGCAGCAACAATATAGGCAGCATGATGCTAGTAAATATGAATGATAGCTAGCTTCCCCCTAAGTCTATGAGAACAAGAAAGAGTCCTATAAATCCAAAGGAAACATTCAATCCCAAAGAGGATCTTGAAACTACAAGATAGAGTAACAATCTAATGAAATAGGTTTTGAATCAGTTGCATAAACTGAATCAAATCAAAAGAGGTCTTAAAGATGACCAAAAGGAACATATAAATAAATCAGTGCTAGGGTTGTGTGACCTAATCTCTTAATGAATCAGTACTAGAGTGAAAATAAATACTTTGATAGATTTTAATTTGAGTAATATTTAAAACGATTCGAGAATATATAATATTTTAGTCGCATGGGGTTTTGGGGTTTTGGGGG